GGTATAGAAGAAAGAGCCCTGGACTTGGGAGTTAGAAGACCTATGATTAATTCTCAGCTTTGCCACATGACATTTGTGGGACTTCCTGCAATTCACAATATCGTTAAGACTCAGTTTCTTCATTAGTAAAAAACGTGTTTTTTAAAAGTTTATAATACACTCTATAGAGTTTGATGATTGAAGAAGACAGTATACGTATGAAAGAGCAGCACTAAGTTTAGAACTTATTAAGTGAAAATAAATGTCAGAAAGGAAAAAGTCAAGTTTTGCAAGCTTAGCATCACCAGTGTTTTTTTCCCCTGATCTGGCCTTGGTGTGGTAAGTGACATTCAAACACATCTTTCCACTAGCCTCTGGAGAAAACTGACTGCATCTTTGATATGTCTGACACATTCTCTGAGTCTAATTCATTAGCAGCAGTGAAGATGATGTAATTATTCTCTGTAGCAAGTTCATCAAAAATGTTTGGGGAATGAAAATGAAGGTACAAGCTTAACAGAGACTTGCAAAGGGGAGGAAAGGGTCATGGTTATGAGCAGTTGCTCAAAACTCAGTCCAATCCTTTCTGGGCTATTCAGAAAAAGAACAGGCCAAGAGCTTAAATTAGCCGTTTGGTGGCCCTTGAAAAGAATAAGGACAGCAGCCAAGCCAGAAGCCAATGGAAGGAAAAGCAACAACAAAGGAGATAATGCAAGCATAAAAGAATGTGATAAGGAAACAGGTCCCAGATGAAAAGAAGCTGCCTGAGAAGCCTAAGTAAATACATGAATAAATAAACACAACATAAATTATACTCATACGCACTTCCTACTCTAGCCCAGAATCTGGAGCTTCTTGCAAACACCCACATTTGTCATACTGCCCTTGGGTCACAAAGGGATATTTGGAAGAAGGCAGTTTGTATTTCCTGATTCTTACAGAAAATCACATTTATCATAAGGCCTCACTACAGTATCTGGTTTATTTGCTAGGTGCAGATATGCATTTATTTGTGAGATTTATAAAACTATGTTTGCGACAAAACGTCTCTGGGTTCAGGTAAGGCAGATCAACCTTCAGTGCAATCTTGTTAGCACATCTCACCCCCATGCTCCCTCAATCCCAGCCCTCCCAACACACATTTCACACTTTTCCTTGTGTTCCCTGATGTGCCACACAATGTAGTAAATCACTATAGGAACAGGACATTTTACCTTTAAAAAAAGAGAAAGATAGGGAAACAAACACTGAACCCCCGCTCTGTCACACATTAGCATCTATACCAAGTTGTAAATGTATGTTACTATTACTGGGAATGTCTGGCAAGGCTTACATCTGGAGCTAAATCAAGTTTCCCTATCTGCTGGGTTTGCCTCTTCCACTCATCGTTAATTTTTCAATTGTTTGCAAGGACAATTTAATAACTGTTGAGGAAATGGAAAATGATAGGCACAAAGGGAGCAAGGAATACAAGAAAAGTCAGCTTTAGATTTCCTAATACTGAAAGCACATTCTCTCCATTTGCGAACTGCTCACTCCTGTGTGTGGGGGGTATTTGCCTCAAGACCCTAAACCAACTCCATGTATGACTCAGTTTTATCCAATCCATACAGCACTCTGTAACTGTCTTGCTGTTTCATAAGGAACCGAAAGTGACTTAGCCCCCAAGCTCCATTTGCCTCTGTTTACCACAAATAGAAATAGCCATGTAAAGCAAAACGTCAAAGTTCCAGATTCCCATGAGTCATTCTTTGAACTGAGAACGGCAGAAAATATTTTCAGAGAAAAGCTTTCAAGCGGCCTATGCACAGGAAATACTTTGGCAATAAAGGTTCCTGAAAGGGACTTGCAACCATCTCTTGGTAAGAAAATTCACAGAACAGCACTATGAGCTATTTCAATATAACGAAAGGAAAGTTTCGTGCACTCCTGCTTTTCTTGATCAAGAGCAACGATTTCTTCCACTCCTATAGACACCAGGACTTAAAATAGTAGTGGTGTCCAACACACTCCGCTTCCAAAGGTACAACAAACCTCAGGATGAGGCCAGGAATTCTGAGAGAAAGAAATTCGCATTCCTTACCTGATATTAACCAACGCGTGGGTCACCTTGCTGGCTGCTTCTTTCCACTGGCCTGCATTGGTGGAAAGCCTCAGGACTGCACAAGAGGAAAGAACAAAGATCTGTCAGACCTCTGGTATAAAACACAAATATGAGGAATGAAGACACATCTCAGAGTAGCACTATTTGAATAATCAAACAGAGCCTGTGCCAATCTTCTGTTTAAAATGTCCTCATCCTAAAGAAAAACATAAGGGCTTATTTTCACCGGGAATTTTTTTCTTTAACTTTCTTTGTATTTTCTATCAAACTACTCTATTCCTCCTATGCCTTGGGTTCCCCTCCCCCCAATTCCAGCTAACTGGTTTCCATAGTTAGTTTTTGAATTCGTTTACAATCTATAATGGGGTAGTGATGCAAGCATAACCCGGCTACTACACTTATCATTTCCCTAATGGCTGGGGCTGATTTAGGGGAATTGGTTGGCTGAGTTAACTGTCCCCTCCTGTTCCATATTTATCTTTCTCCTAAAGGTCTAAGCTGAGTCAAACTGGACAAATAACCTTGCCAGATAGAGGATGGTCATGTTCTAACCAAGGAGTAACCTGTTTTAGCTCCTCTGACTTAATTGTGTGACCTGCAACATGAATCAACAGGAATATTCTTCCTTCTCTGACCAAATTCTATCTCTTATCCACATTTACCCACAGAAGAGATGACAGGAATATAGAATGCTCTCTTTTAGCTATGAGCTTCAGGACCACACATTACATCACTTAGACTATTTTAGAAAAGAGACACACCAACAGTGCTCCTTGAAAGAACAAGCACATGGTACACACTCCAAGTACGTGTTTTTAATGAATGAATAGCTAATAAGAGCTAAATATGCAAAGTTTACTATGTGTGAGGAACTGGACAAAGTTGCGTTATATGCAATACAGCATATAGATGAGAAAACTGACACTCAGATGAGACAAGTAATTGATCAAGGTCATTCGCACAGTTGTAAGTAATGGAGCTGGAATTTGAACTTGGAGGAAATGACTCCAGAGCCTGTACTTACAGAGTGAGGGTTTTAAGAGTATGTATGTGCTCTGAAGCCAACTGTCAGGGTCCAAGTCCAGTCCCTACACTTACTGAAAATAACAGCAATACTTAGACGAAAGGAATACTGTGAAAATTAAGTAAGTTAATATATATGTATGTGTGTGTGTTTGTGTGTGTTTATATATAGTCTTGGATCAGTGCCTTGCACATGGTAAATGATATGTAAATATTAGCTATTATTAATTTAAATAGACTGCATCCCAAACAAATAAATGAATATATCTGAGACTTTCCCTAAGGAAGAAAAATGGAGCCTAACTAACATTAAGAAATTTGTAACCAATTTTCATAGGAACTTTATATCTGAATACATTCACTATCTGCTCCTAACCAGTATTCCTCTAGCAAGAAGGGCAGCAGCAGCAGCTTTGGGGGGGGGGGGCCGGGGAGCGGGGGGCAATGGATGTAGTATGGAAAGAAAGCTCATCTGGTTATTCTGCAACTGTCCTAGCAATCCTCATTTTTATAAATTCAAGCAATTTTATGAAAGATTTCTATCTTAATAAAACATGTATCAGAGTGCTGCTTTTCTAATTTATAAGATTTTGTACAGAGGAACTTGGTATAACTCCAATTTAGAGCTCTGAATTCAGTCTGAATTCAGGTTTCACCCAGCGTATATACAAATTTATTCACGTAATGAACAACGTTGTTTCAGCTGGTCAGACACATCTTTTCAACTCAATTATGAAAAGTATTTAGATGCATTTGTTTTTCACTAGATCATAAGTTCTCTGATGGTGGGCACCTAACATTTATGGAATTGAGCTGAATTTTCCACTCCTTACCTCAATTTATTTAACTGTATCCATGGATTATTTCTCTGTAACATCTGTCAGCTCTGTTCCTTAGTGAACAGGCACCCGGATGACCTCATCACTGCATTTCCTTTGGAAACGCCTCAGGCTTTTACATTATTTTCTAAGTTACCAAATTTAAACACAAAATAATTTCAAAATGCCCTAAAAGCCTCAAGCTAAGGTAATCATTTATGTACTCAATTATGGTACACAAAAATAAAATACTATGCAGCCATTAAAAAGAAACTTAATAGCAAAAGCTGGAAACCATAATTTCCATGAAAAGAAAGAATGGTTAAATAAACTATAGTCATACTAAGCTGGGGGGGTGGGGGGAGAGAAACTTAAGAAAATTACTAAAAATAGAAAAATATTTTATAATATATAGTTTGAAAAAACAAAATAGAATAACATGATTACAACTATGTAACACTATGCATACATACAGGCTAATATACAACTATGAAAAAAAACAGTGGTAATACTATTAAAGAGATTATAAAATTTTAAAATTTATTTCACCTTGCTTTTCCTTTAGTATGATAATTATCTTTATTTTTTAATAAAAAAAACAGTTCAAAATATAGTTATCATTTATGTTTCAGGGCAGCTCTTGTTGGAGGTCCTTGCTATTCAGTGGACTTCACTGCAGTAAATTAATGCCATGGAAATATTAAATGTGTACCTTTATAAAAAATGCATCAGTGAGCCTTCCTCTTCTAGCCATGATAAATTAATAAGACATAATTTACCCTCCAACTTTAAACAACAGAAAACTGGACAAAATATATGAAATGACAGTTATCAGGCATAGGACAACAGGCATACAGGACTGTGATCTCTGAAGAAGAAAAACAAACAAGGTGAGCCCTATGATTACCCCAGTTTGGCACATGGAGAAGTTTCTAGCCTGCAGGGCAAGGAGGAGGAACCTAAAAAGGACCCAGAAGTCTTGCCAAGCTGAAGACATAGAGCTCAGCCTTTCGAGGGGCCAAGGCATCTAGAATTTGTCGGGCAGAGTACTGCAGTGGAGGGAGCTTTTCAGGAAACTCTGGAGGTTTGTAGAGGGCTCCTCTTACTTGTTTTGCTGGGCACTAATCTGCACATATACAGGAGGAAATACCCAAGGCTGGGGAGAAAGAACCACTGAAAAGGAGAAGAAACTGTGCTGCTCCCAGGGGGCTCCACAAATAAAATTATTTGTGTTTCCACCAGTGAGAGTAGAAAGACCTAGTAATACATGGGTTATCAGGTAGACTCTGCTGATGGGTACTGCATTAATTAATAATGGGGCCAAATTAGCCATATTCAAGATTGCTCTCGACCTACCCTAACAACCTTGAAACCAAATCCACATAACATAATCATATTCCAGAACAAAGCACAACATTATATAAAGAAATATAAAATCTAGCACTCACAATATTAAAATCACAATGTCCAAAATCCAATTTAAAAATACCAGGCATTCAAAGAAGCAGAAAATTATTACCCATAAGCAGAAGAAAAATCAGTCAATAAAAGCAAGTCTAGACATGAAGAAAGATGATGAAAATAGCAGACAAGGGCATTAAAACAACTATTGTAAATATGCTCCACATGCTCAGGGATATTGAGGAAAATATAAACATGACGATGAAAGAAACAGACATATTAAAAAAAAGTTCAAGTACACCTGAAACTAATTTTTAAAAAAAAGAAGTTCAAACAGAACTTCTAGGGAAGAAAAAAACTTTCTGAAATGAAAACTACACTGGATAAAATGAAGTGAAATTAATGAGACTAAGAGCATAATTAAAAATACAGAAGAAAAGATCAATGAATTTGAAGACCGAGGAAAAGAAACTATCCAAAATGAAACCTAGAGAAAAGCAAAGAAATAAGAAAGAATAAAAACCCACGGAGCTTTAGTGACCTATGGAACACAGTCAAGAGGTCTAACATATACTACATACTAACAGAAGTTCCAAAATAAAAAAGGAGAAGGGGGAGAGAAATATGAATTCACAGCCAAAATTTCCCACATTTGATTAAAACTAGAAACCCACAGATCCAAGAAGCTCAAGGAACTGCAAGAAAAATAAACATAAAGAAAACCATTGTGAGACACATGATAATTAAACTGCTGAAAACCAGTGACAAAGAGAAAATATTATAAGCATCCAGAGAAAAAGGACACATTATATACAGAAAAATAAAGATAAGAATGACAATAGACTTATCAAAAAGTATGCAAGCAAAAAAACAACAAAATGACATTTTTTAAGTATTAAAAGAAAAATTCTATATTTAGCAAAAATATCTTTAAAAAAATAAAGGTGAGTTTCCACTTTCAGCATGGCAGAGTAAGCCCACTACAGCCTCTCTTGCTGATTACATCTAAAAATCCTGTATAAAATATAAAAAGTAATTAACCTAAGGGCTGCAAAAATTAAACAAAAGCAGACAGGTTATAGAGGGGAGTCAAAACTTGGAGAAACGCCCACAAAAGTGAGCTTCCAGGTTTTCTTTTTTCCTATTTTCTCCTGCAGGTTTGCCTCGGTCACAGAGATGCATAATGGACAAGCAGCGTGGGTGGCTAAAACTTCAATAGAAGCCTCATTTTTCTGTAGCTAAAAACCAGGAAAGAGAGCTTCTGTTGGTCAGAGAACATAAAGGAAACCTGGACAAACCAAGAGAAAGTGTTCCCCTACTTCTGCGTATGAAAGCTGTGCAATTCTCAGGCTCACCCCAGAGCTGAGGAAGCATGGAACAGATACAAAGCAGCAAAGCCAAACTAAACTGGTATTTGACAACTAAACTGATATTTGAACCACCGTCCAAGTCTCTGACTAACCCTTGAGTGGTGTATGTGTGGGCCAGATCCAAAGAAGCACAGAAAAGCCTTTGAAAACTGAACTGATATTGGAACCACTACCCACAGAAGGTGAGGCTAAATTTGCAGCCTAAATACAAAAACAAAACAAAACAAAACAAAACAAAATCCTCTAGAGGATTATAACTGAACCCTGAGTCTATACAACATAACATTAAAAATATCCAGGATGTAACTCAAAATTACACAACTTATAAAGAACCAGGACATAGAAAGACCCAGAATACAAGATAAAACAGAAAAATGTAACAAATTCTCAAGAGAACAGATAAAACAGATGCCTGAAATGACACAAATGTTAAAATTATAAGA